GTCTTTCACATTGAAATCATCACTTTTAAAGCGTTTAAACCAGCGTTCACAAGGATCTTGAGATGAAGCATGTTCACCATAAGCTTCCCGAAGTATACGATAGCTTTCAGCAGCACTCTTCTTCAAAATAATGAATTAAAACTCCTCCCAAATGCTCTTTTTTTGGTATGAAATTCTACATTTTTAAGCGTAAAAATATCTATGATGTTAACACCTTCAGAAAATCTGACATATGAACTTTTGAAGCTTGTTGTCAATACAACAAAATCGCATACATATCAAATCGCATATATATCAAAATACGTGTAACTCCATCTATTGAAAAAAAATCTGCATTATTAACCGGTACACCTGGTAAATACTTAGAACCACCTCAGGTATGCAAATGACTCTCAAGTGGTTCAGGGAAATTTTTAAAAACACACACACACACACACACACACACACACACACACGGGAGGGGGCAGAGGTTGTTTAGGACAAGCAACCATTTAATTATCAAGTGAACTGTGCAAACAAAAACTACTGGTGAATCTATGTATGAAGATATATGGGAATTATTTGTATTATTCTTGAAAATTCTCTAACTTTGAAATTATAGCAATATAAAAAAACACAAGAGAGTTATAATTTTATTTTTATAAAACTGCATGAAAGCATTTTCAGAACTACAGGAAACCCTCTAAGTATCTAGCATTAAACTTGGGTTTCTCAAAATCACCTTGATGCTGTTCCTTCTCTTACCTTTCTAACAGATTGTGGATTGCTTTGAAGAGTAGCGTCCGACATTCATAGGAAAGGCCATTTTCCCAGAGTCCTTCTTCCACAACTGGAAAAAAACAAAAAACAAAAAAAAACGAACCAGTTAGCAGGGCATCCAAATAAAAACAAACTTTAAAACCATTTTTCTAAAGCAAAGTAAATAAGTAAATGTAAATAAACTCTCTCACACTTAAACAGAGAAAGGAAGTACTTAAAGTCACAAAATACAAAATACATAACAAAATATATGCTTAGATTTTAAAGTCTTTGAAATATCGGCATGGTACAATCCCTCTCCCATAAAAGTCTTTCAAACCTGCTTATTCTGCCCTACCCAGTTTGGCTCAGTGGATAGAGCGCCAGCCAGAAGACTGAAAGGTCCCGGTTTCAATTCCAGTCAAGGGCACATGCCCAGGTTGCGGGCTCAATCCCCAGTAGGGGGCATACAGGAGGCAGCCGATCCATGATTCTCTCTCATCATTGATGTTTCTCTCTCTCTCTCCCTCTCCCTTCCTTGCTGAAATCAATAAAAATATATACTTTTTAAAAACCTGTTTATTCCGAGTTTAAAATCATTTGAAATTCTCAAATCAATCTTTCTACTTTTTATTGTCAAAAAGACTAATTTTGTTAGAGTTCACTTAAATAACTTTAAATACTGAGTTTTTTACAGGAAAAATCAAAAGGAAAAAATACCCAATAATGTCAGAGTTACACAAAAATTTTAAATGTTTTGAAGGCAGTATCTGAATAGGATTTTAAGGACATGATTTTAGGGAGAATGTCAGGAAATTAAATCTTATTGTAACATCAATTTATTTCCTGAACTCATAATTTCTTTTTTTTAAGATTTTACTCTTTTAATCTTTACTGTTGAAAGTATTACAAATGTCCCCCTTTTTTCTCCATTGACCCCTCTAGCCTGCATCCACCCCTCGCACCACCAGACCCTCACCACACTGAACTCCTAATTGCATGAATGTTTGACATTTGGAGAAATAATACTTGCCTTTGAAATATATTATAACACTAAGCCACAAGTAACTCTAACACCAAGAGAATCAAACAGACTAACACTGCCCATGCATTCCTAACATCTTTTCATTTATAAAAATATATAAAACGCCCTAGAGAAGATAGCTAATTTTCTTTCAAATTGTATTAGTTCAATTCAAGATTGCAAAAAATTGGAAGGATGGAAACGACATTTGTAGAAGAAAATTTTCTGTCCCTTTTCGTTGTTATCTTGACAAAAGCATTCACCAGAGAAAATTCTGACAGAATTAAAACACGTGTTAAATCCACAATACATCTTTAATGCTTTTATCACACTAATTGGCATCTTAAAATGCATCTCCATATTTTCCAATCTGGTAGAATTTGAAGAAGTGTATTTACATTCATAGGTTTTATTTAATGGACTTTTTAAAAAAATGATAAAACTGCATAAATATTTTTTGTCCTCATATGTAAGAAAACTATTTTCCTGCCTATATGGCTCATCATGATTTACCAAATTTTCCCAAAACAACCTCTGGCGGAAACATTTTCTCTTATGTATAACTACAGAAATGAAAATAAAATACAACAAGTAAACAAACATTCCTGCTAGCAACAGATTGTCTCTGTTAAAGACAAAGCATCCCAAAGTTTTTTACAATTCTCTGAAAGTGTCATGAATCTCTGTTCTCACACATTTATCTTTTGGGTAGAGCTTTTACTAGGTAAGAAAGACAACTAACATTTCAATAAAAGAAACATCCCATAGTAATTGCTTTTCTTTGCTTTCCTAATGTGTTTCATTGATTCTGAAACATGATCAATTTTAAGATGTATCGTTATTTTATATGTCCCTGGGGGTAGAACGGTGGGAGGAAGCTGCCAATTAAACTATAACATGGTACATAACACTTAGAATTTTTAATTTGTAATTATTTAAAGAGCTTTAAATTGAGATATATTTTTAATTATTGTTGTACATAAAACAAATAATATATTCAAAGAAATAAGTTTAAAATTCCCAATAGTTCATCAACATTCGAAGTCCAGCTCTTATGAATCACTCAACTTAGTCACTGGTGTCTGTGTTTCTCTACATAATAGTCTTTTGTGCCAAAGAAAGTATTGGTGATGCGGCGTTTGTAAAATGAGTGCCCAGCTGTTTCCAAGTTGGTAACACCCATTCTGCACATTTTTAAAAAACCTTTTAAAATTAAAATCTTCAAACATACTTTAAAATAGAATAATAAGCCAGGTGGCTCCGTGGGTTGGAGCGTTGACCCGTGCACCAGAAGGTTGCACGTTCAACTCCCAGTCAGGGTACATGTCTAGGTTGTGGGTTTGATCCTGGGTTGGGGCAAGGATGTCTGCTTTCATTACTCCTAATCCACTTACAGTAGAAATTTCAGCCAATATAATAAGGCAAGAAAAAATGACACCAGGTACAGTGATGAATTGGAAGAAATAAAACTCTTTATGCACAGAAGACATGACTATCAGAAAATCCTAAAGAATCAACAAAAGAAGCTATTAAACTTAAAACTGAGTTTAGCTAGATCATAAAATACTAGGTCAATAGACACAAAACAACCATATTTATATACTGAAATAAATAATTAGAAGTTAACAAATTTTAAGTATCATTTACAACAGCACCAAACAACAAGAAATTCCTAGATATAAACCTTACAAATTATGTTCAAGATCTATATGCTGAAAACTATAATATTAATGAAACAAATAAAAGACAAATAAATGCAGAGGCATGTATTCATCATGGACTAGAAAAATCATTACTGTTATGATGTCAATTTTTCCCAAAACAATCTAGAGTCAACTGAATGACAATCAAAATCTCTGCAGGATATTTTGTAGAAATAGACAAGCTCAGTCTACATATCTAAGTGAAAGAAAAAAAAGAGAAAGAAACCAGAATAGTAAAAACAATGTTGTACTTGAGGTACTTATGCCACCTGATTTCCAGATTTACTATAAAGCTAGAATAGATAAGACAGTGTGGTATAAGAGAAAAGATATATAGATCAATAGAACAAAACAGAGTCCAGAAACAGACCCACAAGTATATGGTCAGTTTATTTTCAACTAAGGTGCAAAAGCAGTTCAGTGATCAGAAAAAGTCTTTTCAATAAATGGTACCGGAATTAGTAAATATCCCTATACCAAAAAGAAAAAGAAAAAATAAAAAGCCTTAAACCTTACTGAATACCATATATAAATGTAACTCATAATGGATCATAAAACAAAATGCAAAACTTGAAACTATTAAATTTTGAAAATATAGAAGAAACTTTTTATAAGCTTAGTTTAAGCAAAGATTTCTTAGATGTGACACCAAAACATGATCCGTAAGGCAAAAACAATTAAATAGGCCTTCATCAACTGGAGAACTCTGCTCTTCAAAAGACGTGAATAAGTTATGTTAAGCTATGGAAAAAACAAGCCAGAGAAGGGAAATAAACAGTTACAAATCACGTACTTTAAAGGACTTGTATTCATAATATGCTATTTTTGATTTTTTTAAAAATCTCAAAATTCAACACTAAGAAAAAAAGGCAGTTTTAGAAAATGGTCCAAAGATTTGAACACTTTGCCAAAGAACATATATGAATGGCAAATAAAAACATGAAAAGATGCTCAAAACATCACTAGTCATCATGGAAATGCAAACTGAAATCACAATGAGTTATCACCCATTAAAATGGCTTAAAAAGAAAAACTGAAAATACTAAGTGCCAGTGAGCATACAAAAAATAACTGGAACTGGCATATACTTCTGATGGGAATACAAAAATAGTACAACCACTTTGGAAAAGTTGACTTTGGCCATTTTTCTAAACTTAAATATACACTTGCCCATACAGCCCAGCAATATCCCTCTTAGGTATATATTCAAGTAGCATAAGAACTTAAGTTCACATGAAACACTGTAACAAATACTTATCATTGTTGTTATCATAACTGCCCAATCCTGGAAACCATCCAAATATCCCTCAATTGAAGAAAGAATGAACAGTAGAAAATCCATACAATGAAATACTATACAAAAAGGAACTAGTGATACAATCAAACATTGTATGCTCAGTGGGAAAAAAAAGCCATACTCAAAAAGCCACATGCTATGTGAGTCATTCATATGACATTCTTGCAAGTGCAAACTTAAAGTCATATAAACTGCTCACAAAGGTATCCAGGTATTGGAATGGTGGGAGGGGTTGATAACTAAGGGACACTGGAAATCAGTGGGACAGCACTTTTCACCACACTATGAGTCAGAGTGAAGGACATGTGACATTCACTTTAGCTACTCAGCATCTGACTTCTTCCTGTCACTGGGAATTAGCTACTTCATGAATTCTGGTTGGAGTCAAAGATGGCCGGTCACCTCTAATAGGAGCTGAAGATACTGATTCTGTCTGTTCCACACCTTCCTACAATGTGGGCAAGGATATACATCCTCAACTTCACTAGATGCTACTGCATACATCTCTGACTCTGGATCTAGTGACACAAAGGGAGTGGAAGGACGGAGATCTTCCCGTGTGCACTAAAAGTAGAGGCTGAAAGATAAAGTTTGCTGCTAAAGTAGCATAGGTACACAGCATCTAGTGCTTGGTGATAGCACTAGTTTCTCATCAAACCAATTATGCAGCACTGACCCTAGAAGTGCCAAAGAGTTGTGTGAACAATTCTTTTAAGCAACTCCTTTTGTTAGTTTGCAACTAAGAATTCTGACCAATACAGTGCATTCTAAACTCCATTATATAAATGAGAAAACTAAGGCTTAAAAATCTTAAACTTGCCCAAAGTTACACAACTCAGTTCAAGAATATAGTCGCCCTAGGCGTAGCCAGTTTGGCTCGGTGGATAGAGCCTCAGCCTGTGGACGGAAGGGTCCAGAGTTTGATTCCAGTCAAGGGCACTTGCCTGGGTTTCGGGCTTGATCCCCAGTAGGGGGCGTGCAGGAGGCAGCCGATCAATGATTCTTTCTCATCACTGATGTTTCTGTCTCTCGCTCCCTCTCCCTTCCCTTCCTCTCTGAAATCAATA